GTAGTGACGCATCGCTTCAGAGGTCACATGTGGGGATGAATCCTTAATATTGAAGAACGTTAAGCATAAATTGACATCGTCGCTTGAAAGACAAGGATAACAAAGAAGCGCGTTGTGGCGTGGGGCTCGATAGCTCACGACGCGTGGGCACGTGATGAGTTCCAACCTCACTTCATCAGACCAAAACACCATGACTCCAACGTTGGGGATGTCATTTACAATATCTACACAAGCATTCATTCAGTTGTTTAGTATGGCAACCAGTCACAGCAATTGTAGAGAAGGAACAAAAGTTTCATCATCATCATGAAAAATAGGTCAATTTGTTGATTTTAGACCCTCATCTGCTCCCAATCGGGAGGGTATATGCAAATGTTGAATGCTCGCCAAACCAGCCGTACCCAGATCCTAATCCACAGGTTAACTTTTAGGATTTTACCACAAACATATCTGGTCCATTTTTTAGGCCAGTCCCAAACGCCGATGTTGAAATCGTAGCTGTTTTGAAGAACAGCCTCCACAAAAATGCTATTAACACAATACTCATACGCCTTCATCACCGTCATCAACCTCTTATACAATTATGGGTTGGCATTTATTTGGCGTACTTGGCACGGAAGTACTTGGCGGCGTTAACCATGTTGGCAAGCGCCTCCTTGGTCTCCTTCCACTGACGGGTCTTGAGACCACAGTCAGGGTCGATCCAGAGCTGCTCGGGCTTAAGGAACTGAAGCATCTCCTCGATGCGGTCCTTGATCTCCTGCTCGCTGGGGACACGGGGAGAGTGGATGTCGTAGACACCAGGTCCGATGTGGCGGGGGTACTCAGAGTCGACGAAGACCCGGAGGAGCTTGGCATCAGACTTGCTGTTCTCAATGGACAGAACGTCGGCATCGAGGGCAGCGATGGCGTGGAAGAAGTCCTGGAACTCAGAGTAACAGAAGTGGGAGTGGATCTGAGTGGCGTCCTCAACACCGGCGGTGGAGAGGCGGAAAGCCTGGACGGCCCACTTGAGGTAGGCATCACGCTCCTCACCGGAGCGGAGAGGAAGACCCTCACGGAGAGCGGGCTCATCGACCTGGATGACGTCGATGCCGGCCTTCTCAAGGTCAACGACCTCGTCACGGAGGGCAAGGGCAAGCTGCTCAGCCTGGACGGACTGATGGACGTCGTCACGAGGGAAAGACCATCGAAGGCAGGTGACGGGGCCAGTAAGCATACCCTTCATGGGCTTCTTGGAGACCGACACGGCGTACTTGGACTCCTTGACGGTCATTGGCTGAGGTCGAGAGATGTCACCGACGATGATGGGGGGTCGGACGCATCGAGAACCATAGGACTGAACCCAGGCGTGTGTGGTGAAAGCATAGCCCTGGAATCGCTCACCGAAGAACTGGACCATGTCGTTACGCTCAGGCTCGCCGTGGACGAAGACATCGAGGTCGAGCTCCTCCTGGATCTTGATGTTCTCCTCGATCTCCTTCTCAATGAAGCGGTCGTACTCCTCAGCGGTGATCTCGCCCTTGGTGAACTTGTTTCGCTGAACTCGGATCTCCTTGGTCTGGGGGAAAGATCCGATAGTGGTAGTGGGGAAGAGGGGAAGGTTCAGCTTCTTCTGCTGCTGGCTGATACGGGTAGTGAACTCGCTCTTGCGCTCGTAGTCCTTCTGGGTGACCTTGGACTGGCGCTCCTTGACCTGAGGGTCGTTGGTTCGGGGAGAGTCGGCACGAGCCTTGATGGACTTGGCGTTAGCCTCAAGCTGCTCGCGGACGGAGGCAGGGCCCTCAGTGACGGCCTTGGCAATGAGAGCAATCTCAGAAGCCTTCTCAGTGGCGAAAGAGAACCAGTCGGCAATCTCGGGGTCCAGCTTCTTCTCGCTGGCAAGAGTGTGAGGGGTGTGGAGGAGAGAGCTGGAGGTGGCAGCGATGACACGGTCCTTGCCGAGCTTCTGGATAGCGGTCTCAACGGTCTCGATAGCACGCTTCAGGTTGGTCTTCCAGATGTTGCGGCCGTCGACGACACCAGCAGAGAGGATGGTATTGGAGCCGAGAGCACCGAGAACCTTCTCGAGCTGCTCGGGGTTGCGGACAAGGTCGATGTGGACACCATAGACGTCCTTGGGGACGAGGTCGAGGTTGTGGACGATGTCACCGAAGTATGTAGTGAAGACAATCTTGGGGATCTTGTCACCAAGGCTGGCGAACTTCTCATAGGCGGGCTTGAAGGCATCCTTGGTCTTCTGGGGAAGATCGAAGACGAGGACAGGCTCATCAATCTGGACAGTCTCGGCACCAGCCTCCTTCAGCTGGGTGAGGATCTGCTCATAGACGGGGAGGAGCTTCTCAAGAAGGTCGATGGGCTCGACAGACTGGCCACGGTCGGCCTTGCCGAGGTGGAGGAAAGAAACGGGACCAACGAGGACGGGACGGGTGTTGATGCCAGCGTCCTTAGCCTCCTTGAACTCGGCAACAGCCTTAGGGCTGTCAGTGAGCTTGAAGGTCTGGTTGTCCTGGAGAGTAGGCTTGACGTAGTGGTAGTTGGAGTCGAACCACTTGACCATCTCCAGAGAGGGGACATCGACACCCTCCTTCTGGTGACCACGGCCCATGGCGAAGTACTGGTCAATGGGGTCAAGGCCATCCTTGGTGTATCGCTCGGGAACAGCCTAAAGGATGTGGGTCAGCAAATGTTGTTCTATGACTCCAAGTTGAGGGAGATACGTACACCGAAGTCCTGAATCTGGTGGAGGACCTGGTCGTAGAGGGCGAAGTCGTTACTGGGGATGATGTCGACACCGGCATCCTGCTGGATCTTCCAGTGAGCAAGACGGAGGCGCTTGGCCTCAGCGAGGAGGTCGGACTGAGAGATCTTTCCACCCCAGTCTAAAGTTTGGTTAGTCGATGATGACACGAGTCAGAGATTTGCGGAAGACTGACAAGCTTCAGTGGCCTTCTTCAGGTCACGGTTAACACCCATACGGGGGAAACCGAGGATAGCGGACTGAACCATCTTTGCGGTTGATTCAACTGCTTCTTCTAATTCTTGATTTGGGTATAACTGGTGTTGTCAGGTTAGTCTTTTATTTTGAAGTTCTGGTTAAGAGCACGGTGCAGGCGGGGGTGACAGCGGGGAGAGGGGCGGAGGAAATCGAGCAGGGCTGGACTGGATGGATGGAGGGGAGCTGGCGGGGAGTTGAGAAAGGTGGAAGAACTGTGAAGAGCTTCACGTACAAAGTGGTCAAGAGCCCCTGTCTGTGCCAAATTGGATCAATTGGAAGATCCTTTTCGAGATAGAGCAAAGGGAAAGAGTGAGATGAAGAAGAGAGGAAAAGGGAAGGGAAGAAAAATTGGGAGTCGAGAGTAGAAGAACGTTTTGAGCTTGCTCAGACGAAAAATCAGAGGGGACCAACCAAGCCAGGCCGAAAGCGGGGGAGGGGTAAAAAAGTGGTCGAGGAAAGCTACGCCGCTGGTTTGATTGGCGCCGGAGCACTCAAGATATCTTACACCATTCGTCTACCCACTCCATTCACCGATAAGTGAAGGAGTAGCTTGCCTGCCACTGACGGCCACTCTAGCCACTACCACTGTTACTACTACTGCTGCTACGGTGCTACCTACGGGCCTGTACAACCTTAGAGGAGGAAAGAAAACACAGGACCTCAATCCTAAATGACAAAAAGACTTAGGTAATATAGCCTAAGTTTAGGATAACTTTTGCTAGGTTTATTTTGACACCCTACAGTAAGGTTTGCTGTTTTCTTACCCCCTGAGGACAACTCAGGCGGGAGCCTCTAACAACATCCACCTCGAATCTCACGTATTCGTACTTAGCGTACGAGGCGGTTGGTTAATCGGAGGAGGCGGTTGCCGGAGTGGATTTTCAGGGCCCTTTCCACGGCTCACGGGCTGTCGGTGGGCGCTAATGGAGGGGCAGTTTGCAGCAGCTCTGCAGCTTGTGGCAGGGGTATTCACCGTTCTCGCAGGGCACAATGGGGCTAGTACGCCTCAATGAATCTTTGCTCGGCTCCCGAATTGCGTGCTTGGATGCCAATCACCTCATCAACCAATTTTCTCCTCTCTCAAGAGCTACAATGGAGCAAAGGAAGCAGAAAGAAGTGCTGAGGCCAATTTCTACCTCGCCGCAGATCGGCCTTTGGCGTCGTTTTGCAACCCACTTTGTTGAAAAGATCGACCATTCGTAGCCTCCCACAGGAGGACGTGTCCTAACTTCTCGTTCAACGGTGTCGGATTTTCCTACTCATGGTTTGCAACGGCCTATCTTACTAGAGACCGACCACGTGCTTTAGCGTTGTGTTGTTGTGATGTTGTAGGAATTGCGCTTACACCGGAAATTTTCGGAGTTTAGAGGATTTGGACTACGCACATATGACAAGCCAAGATGCATCAAGGAGAGTGCCGAAAACTTGATATATATTTTTTAAGAAGATGCATCCACTAGAAAACTGTTTAATTGCTCTATGACGAATCTTATTCTATACTGTCTACTTACACGACTCATAACAGGAAAGATAATAATATGGTACAGCTCCAGGTTAGGTAGGTGTGTTGCATTGTTTTTGATCAAGAGAGATCTGATGCTCAACAACACACAGCAGTAACACCTAATGTCGATTGAGAGAGTCAAAACAGCATGATAGAAGGTCAGGTCGTCGTCTCCTTCTCCAACAGTTCGCAGAATGGATCGGTCAAGTGATTTTGACTCTCCAGGTCCAGGCTGACCTCGTGGTGACTGCGTTGCACCTTCCAATGAACAAGCGGTAGGGAGACAGATAGGAAGGAACAGATATGGAAGTCGTGATGGCCTCAATGGAACCAAACGCTACCAGGCTTCCACCCGATCTCTCCAGGAAGATGTAACCCTGTTTCATCAATACGCTTCATTTTGGACGATCCTTATGACTTCTTTCTTTTGGTGACTGACCCTTCACTACTTTTTGGTCGTTTCTTGGAAGAGTACCTCTATCCCCCAAAGCCTTACTAATGCCTTCCTTCAACCTCTCAAAACTCCTTTGTTGTTGCAAGATCCCAAAACGCCGTAAGCAGAATTCGGAATTTACAGCAAACGATGTAGCTCTCCAGCCAATTCCTGTTCTGGCTCCTCCTGCTGAGGAAGAACACCAAGAAACCAGTGAGAAGAACCGACAGTCCATCATAGGCTTGCCAAACACGGCTTGGGCAATACCAGTACGGAATAGTTCTTTCGAGAGCGGCTCTGTCATACGTCAGCATATGGATGACGACGATTCAGATTCAGATCAAGATCGAGCGCAGCCAACAAAAAAGTCCAGCACTGCGTTTGATAGTGTACGCAACAAGCTCATTCGCACCATCTCACATAGTAACAATGGAGACCATCCATCCCATGTTTCTGTTGGGAACAGTGAAGAGGAGATTGCACGCAGAGCCGAATTGAAGCGCATCATGCATCAAAGGATTCAGGATGAACTAAAGTCGGACGAGTCGGATGATCAGATTGAGAGTAAGCCGGCGAACAGTATTCAGTATATGGTTTCAGTCGTTGATTTGACATTGCCTAATTCTGGACCCCGAGATGCTATTGAATTCGGCGTTAGCAAGTCTTTTTCTCGCAATGGACATTCTACTCCATTCGACTTGGATCAAGTCGATCAGGACACGCACCAAGACAGTCGAGTTCCTCAACAAGGTGAAAATAGACCACAAGAGACATTTTCACAGACATCAGAGTCAATTAACGGCGCTGATGATTGGAGACAAGATGACGTGCATCCAAGACTCTCCCCTTCTTACCCCAAGAGGCACGTTTCAGCGAGTGAAGACGGCAACTTCACACATTCTCAGAAATCTTTCCAGCTGTCAAACGGCACTGGACGTCTCGACCGTATTCTGGGACCAGATAGCAGCTTCAACAGCCGTCATGCTTCTTCAGGAGACGGGCATTCTGCTCTTGGCGTATGGCTCATAGCCCAGGGTCTCCGCTCAAGAGACAACTCAACTCTTTTCCTTGACGAAGAAGATGAACTTGAACCAACTGAAGACACCAAGCTAACTGATTACAACACTTCTTCACTAACACGGGCGGAGGGGGATCATGTCCAAGAGACTCGAGAGACACCAGCAAATGGAAATCCTAATATGCCCCATGAACCAACCATTATTGACATACCCAACACGGTGGAAACATACTCTCGGTCCAATTTCAAGGCAAAGAATGATCGCTACGAAATATCAAGCCTATCTGGAGAGTTGCCATGGGGCCCGACTGTAACAGCGCTTCTCAATTCATTTACCGACAACACGTCTCCAAGTGACCCATCAAAGTTACGTCCTAGTCCAAGGCAATCTCAGCAGAATCTTTATAAACTTGGCCCCAAGGACCTGGATAGCATGGAGTTATCTCCATTCAAATGTAAGTGATTTCAAACTATCACTTTCCAATGACGACTAACATTGTGAAAAGGGCGAAGCTATACTTCTTCCCAAGACCAGGAAAATACAAATGACCAGAACTCCAAGAGTGTGAATATCGGCGTGCCCCAGATAAAGTCCCAGTCTTATGAAAACTTTAACAACGTTAAATTTCCAGTGAAGCCTCCACAAGACACGACCTCCTTGGCTCAATCAGAATCTGCCAGCTTCCTGCAACGTGAGGCTGAGCTCCGGTCCATTAGGCGACGTTTCAGTGAAGCATTAGCACTGAAGAAATCAGAGAAAAGAGTGGTAACCCGTTTCCGTGAGGAGTTTTCCGAATCTTCGCTGCCACCAACTGTCCATAAATCCTTCAGAAGCAAGATCCAGCTGGCAATTCCGAGCCACCTGAGGGCGAAATCTGATGGCATTGACGTCCGAAAAAAAGATGGCTCTTCTGGGCCACCCAAAGGGCAAAATTACCTGCTCATCCCTATGGAAAGATTAGGAGGGCACGAAAGAGAAGCGAGTGACAGGTCAAAGGGTCGTTCGAACTTGAGCATTCGACCTCACATGAGTCAGCTGCCTACCGAGGAGTATCAGAAGCCAGGATTAGAGCACCGAGAGAGCGCAACAGACCTGTGGCAACGGGCCATCAGACTTGAAGCTGAGAGAAGGCACAGTAGTAGTATCCATTTAAGCACAGCAAAGCCGAGCCAGAGAAGTCAGTCCTCCAACAGATCACTGAATCAGCCCGGAGCATCTAGAAATAGCACCAAAAGTGTCTCAGATACGGGACGAGAGGCCTCTCAACTAACTCCCACAACGGATGAGCTGTCCTCGCCAGGGAACTCAAAGTGGCTGATTGAGCGCTGGGTTGCCACAATGCGACCTAGGATAGGGGAATCAGCTGGAGACGTGAGGTCAACACGACTCACAGAGCCTCCAAAGTCTTGGTCCAGATTCCCGTCCCACAATAGAGAGGAGAGGAATAAGAACGCGACAGATAGAGACCGGGTGCATCCTAGAGATTTTGCGGTCAAGCATATGATGTCTGAAGGTCAGATTAGATGGGCCACAGATGCGCCCCTTGATGAGGCAGAGCAGCGTGCACGTACTCTGCCACGGTCTTTTTCAACCAAATTTGGTAACCTGGTCAAGTCAAAGATGGGACGGATTATCCCATCAAAAGGTATTAGACATCGTGTCAGTCAAGATCATTTCAGAAGACATGCTGCCTTAAGTTCAGCTTGTATGGAATATCCCGAAATGGGGATTCGCCCTTCCGAATCTGGATATAACGAGCTTCAAGCGCTGGGGAGAGAGATCAGCAACATGAAGGGGGAGCTTCACCTACACGTCCCGAGCAGGGAGCTATCGAAGCCACAGTCTTCCAGAAGCTTGGGTGATAGAGTAGTTGCTTTAATGCACGAAGCGATTGGTCAACGGCATTCGAAACACGACGAAGTTGCCGAAGTCGCCGAGTACCCAACAGTCCCGCTTACACCAAGCGTGGTCAGAGAGAGTATTGCTGCAACAGATGTATTCGTTACGCCGAGGAGTCGATTTTCGAATGATGCCATGGACGGAGAAACAAGAACTAGCACAGAAGCAGAATCCAGCAAGGTGAAAGACCAGAACACACCGCTAACGGGACCCGAGAGCATCAGGGACACTCCCCTGAGCAATTCCTCAACCAATATCAAAGACGTGGAGCCTCATACTCAACTTCACACCCCCGAAAAGGGCTCGACTTAACCGTAGCAGTCTGTTTAAAAGAAACTCAATTTATTACTACGGCTATATTGGCCGGCAAGCACACTTGTGAAAATACTAGATATCCTATGGAAGGGGGAGACATGACAAGCACCATGTACTTGTGAACGAAGGTCGACTATGGAATTTTATGCATTCTGTCTTTGTGGCCTGCTGCAAGTAACAAGCCTTACGTATGCTATCTCTAATGCCAGAGTGTTGTTCTTCTGCTCCCTTGTCAAAAGATCAGGTGTCTTGACTTATTGCCAGACTTTTGTGCGACTTCACAATCCTTCCCGTGTACCCTGTTATGCTGCAATTCGATCAAACGCGGGTAGAATGATGACCAGAGGTTGCACAAGCAAGAAGGAGACCGTACCGTAACTAAACAGTTTCCTTCTCCTTCTCCGTTTTTTCACCTTTGAGCTCATAACGCTCCTTTCTAGCTCTCGCCTCGTCCTCTTTCCGCTGCATTTCCTCCTTTCGCTCGCGTAGTGCAAGGCAGAACTTTGAGCGAGACCGGATACTGGGACCCTTCCAGATGAAAACAAACGGAATGAAACACATGAGGGCACTGAGACCACCGAGCAGAGAGCATGCACCATTGATGTGGAGTTGACGGAACATGGGCTTTGTGGCAAGTGGTAGCACAACAGCAAAGAGAGAGCGTGTCGTAGAGGCGGCAGCATTCGCAGAGGCAGCAAAGATCTCATACGCATCTGTGAGGTAGTTGAGTATAGCCATGAAGATTAGCATGAAACCCATCCCAAACAAGACGCCGGCAAGCATAGGGGCGGCGAAGGGAATCTCTGCACGGGCAGACCAACCAAGCCAAAAGAGAGAGACGACGAAGAGGGGGCCACCGAGACAGGCTAGAGGTAGACGACGATACTCTTCGCGTTGGACCCAGGGGGCATTACGCTCTGTAGCACGAGCAAGTGTGTTATCCCATGTCCAAAAGATGGGAAGGGTCAGAGCTGCACCACCAAATATTGGAAGATATGCGAGGCCAGTAACACCCGGTGAAAGGCCATAGACGTCTTGGAAAATGATTGGGAATGCCTGAAAAGACATGTAGAATATGGAGTAGACAAGGGAGAGATAGGCGCAAGAAGTTGTCACAATGGGCTCAGATATGATCATGCGAAGAGGGCGAGTCAAAACCACAGTGAGAAGCTGTCTCAGGTCTGTTGTCTCGAGGTCTCGAGGGGCAATGGCACGAGACGAAGGATCTTGCTTGCGGAGTTTTCGAGCGCGGCGTGAGAGAAGAATCGGGCCATATGTCTCGGGAAGGAAGATGATGAGGACGAGTGTAGAGCCTGCGATGATGAGAGCAATCCAGAAGACCCAGCGCCAACCAATATTAGGGCCAGCGAAACCAGATAGGATAGGGGAGAGGATGGGACCACCAGTAGTACACTATTGGCAGGTCAGCTAATACCATGCATGCAGGAGACTTTGAAGATTATTAGGTAGAATATACTCACCACCATGAAAATAGCAAAGGCTCTGCCTCTGGTCCGCGGGTCATTATACACATCTGCCAGGATACCAGCCACAATGGCAATAGGTGAACTAGCAAACGCTCCACAGAAGAAGCGGAAGATCAATAGAGCAGGCCAAGTGGGAGCCAGAGCACAAGCCATAGTGAAGACGGTGAAGAGACAAAAGGTGACCAGACTTAGATCTCGTCGTCCATAATGCTCGCTGAGAGGACCCCAAACAACTGGGCCTAACACATAGCCAATGAGGTAAACAGAAATGGGCAAGACACTCTGTTCTTCCGAAGTGATGCCAAAGTCTTTGGTGATATCAGGGATGGCCATGCTTGGAAGGGCAGAGCCCATGGTAGAGTTGATGACGAGAACGGAGGTACATAGTAGAACTAATTTCTTTTTTGTCTGTTATAGGCCTCTACAATTAATAAAGCCGTTCAATATTTTGAGAAGAGGCAGAAGCTTGATTGAGGACATACATCTGACCAATTTACTGGGTTCTCTGGATCGTCAACTTCCCAAGTGACGAGGACTTCGTTTGTGCGGCTCCGGGTCCGGGAACGGATGTTGTGAAGGGCGCCAAGACCTCGGTCCGCTGCCTCTTCCTCATACCGAGATTGAGCTTCGATTTCGTCGAGATGATGCATATGATCTGAGAATGAGCTACTTCTCCTCCGTCCACCTAACAAATTGTGAGCTCGAGTTCACTCCAGAATACAATAGTTCAGTCTCGGGAAGAAGAAGAAGAAGAAGAAGAAGAAGAATATTGGCAACGACTTACGGTATGGTGACGGTTCCCGTGTTGTCTCACTGGATTCACTTGCAGCCATGGTTTCTTGGCGTCTGGAGACACTGAAGCTATTCACATGAGAAAACAATCAATTGGAAGAGTAAAACAGCAGTAACAGCTATATTCATGTGATGTTGCAAGGAAAAGAATGAACAATACGGACAAGCACACGAAGTGGATAGGTTCTGCATGCACTCTTCTCCCCCATGACTTCAAAATTGGCCGATCCGGGTGTTGCATATCTATGGGCTAAGTGGCTACGCCCTCCCTCTTCCTGATCTTATTTGGGGTGCTACTCAGGCTACTGTAAGGCGTAATCCAATGCATGGAGAGAGGCATCTGTGTGGCAATTCCCCATAACTACCACAACAGGAGATCCGGAGCCGGGCCTCAAATATGGGGGCACTCGTGGGTAAAAAGTGGGATTCGCGGCGCCGATGATGGAGGCGGCGGGTGTGGGAGCTTGAGCAGCGAGGGGCTACAGCATGTGCGGGAGCCTCTTCCGCAGTTGAGGGGAGGTCGCGGGGCGTCATGAGAACCTTTGTTATCATTCCCCAGAGCAGTTCCCAGGGTACTATGGCTCAATTCTCGATAGTCTGGAGAGTTGGTCCGCATTAGCTTCAATCAACTCAAAGAGCGAGCGAATCGCTGTGGTTTGGTCATCAAAGTTGGGGTTGCTCGAAGTGGTTCTTGGGGTGACCGATAACCCGGGAATAGCAACCGGACACAAGACCAAGGAGCTGAGCTGTTCCATAGACATGCGAGTTGCTGACCCGGCTTTCGATACCGGAGGGCGTGACCGACGACCCCCAATGGGATTACAAATAAGGTTGCCCACAAACGTTGTGATGTGCAGAAGAATTGCTGCATTCACGAGAGACTGGATAAGAATTCTTCCGGCTGAATCGGTGTGGCTTTTTGTGGTTTCTTTGGAGGGGGTATCAGCTTCGATTTTCTTTGTTCAAGTCTCTAGGTTGATCTGCTTTCCGAATCTGGCATATAGCTCGACCTTGAGCTGGGTCATCTCCTCGCGGATAGATGATAGCTTCTCCTCCAAAGATGTTGACTCTTCCTCGAGCTTCTCTGTTGCCTGCTCTAGCATCTCCTGAGCCTGCTCTACCGAGACATGAAAAAAGGCATCGCCAATCTTGTATCTGTTTTCAAGTCAGTCTGTTGGGTATTCGCTTTTAGGGGTATTTCGCTTTCGTACTGGATCTTTTCGTCCTCATCGGCGAGTTCAAGTTCGGTGGACAAATCGTCAAGCTCTTCCTTTTCCTTCTATATAGCAATGTTGGATCAGTCGGTGTTCAACGAAGCTCAGGAGGCATTCCGATGCTTGTGCATCGTATACGTACGGTTTTTGTGCTCAGTTCCTCCTCCAACAAAATTTCTCGCTGGTGTAGGCGACTGAATCTGTTGATCTTGTCCTGGTCCTCACGTCGAACCTCAACTTCGTCGGCTGCCTCCTCGTCCGCCTTTGAAAGCTAGAGAGCTGTCAGATATACTAGGATCATACCTTTGATCAAGGACAACTTACCATACGACGTTGTACTAATGAAGCCATGGCGGAAGACCGAAGATGCTATCGCTATTGTACAGATCTCAAGCTTGTGAGCCTTGCGCACAATCAACCCGAATCCCAAGGTGGGTTACAGTGCGTGTTCTCAGCCGTTGGCCTGGCACTGTACACCCCTCACCGGAACCAGGGGCTTCTTCGATTTGAGGGTGTGAAGCTCAAGGTGAGCTAGGTACGTACTGTAGGGTTTTCGGGCGTTGCCGATTGGCTTATTCCCGAAGTTTAGATCAGTGAGGTCAGAGTAGCAACCGTAGAACGCGCTGTCAACACCACAAACTAAAACAACAACCATTTCTCATCAACCATGGCGCTCGGAAAGAAACCATACCCCAAAGCCACGGTCAAGAAGATCATCAAGGCTCATTCAAACCACAATTTAAAGAAGAATGCCGATGTTACTGTGTGTTTAAACGTTCTCATGGCCGCAATTGATGCTGATGTTTACTTGTCTTAGATCTTCCTCGACTACGTCCTATTCATGGAAACGTACGAATCTGACGAATCCTTCTATACCGCGACAATCCAAGCTAACTAAATCAAAAGCCTTATAAAAGAAGCGGCGATCCATTCGAAACAGTCAGGCGAACGAGGTCTCTCTGCGAGGAGCGTCAAGAAGGTGACGAGAGTATGTCTCGTGAAGCATCTTCTCTCCACATCTGCTGATCCGTGCTGTCTAGGATACCTTGACCAAATTCAAGGGTTGAACAAAACGAAGAACTGCGACAAGCAACGAAACCTACCGGACTCACAACAGTGTTGCGATCCTCAAGAGCCGCGCCGCCATTGAGAGCCATACAGGCATAGACGCGACATCCGACATGATACAACAGTACCACATACACCGCAGACATTACAGACATTACAGAGTTGGGAATGGAGGCACTGTATGATTTACCCCCTGACGGATTCCGCGACCGGGCAGAGGGCATCGCGAGGTTGAAAGAACATAGCGCTTGCGCACGAGACCACCCACCTAACCTCATCTCAGCTGAATGCGACGATTGGGTGGGGCTTTTTCTTGTCATGACGATGATGCAGACCAACGAGAGAACACTCCGTCTCTATCCGTACAAACAACATTAGTAGATTAAGGCAAACAATGGATGAGTCTTGATAAAGAAAATACTGCACTCAGCCTAAAATTCATCATAATGTGAAACCATTCTATACATACAGCAATTGACAGCCCCGTTTTCTCGGCCAGAAACAATGACAGTGTCAATGCAGGGGGTTTGCTGCCTGGGCGCTCTGAGGTTAGTTAGTGTTGGTACTGGCACTGGCACTGGCACTGGCGGGCACAGACAGGCACAGACAGGCAAAGCTTCGTTGTACCACAACCTAACTCGGACTTCTCCTTCTCCTGCTCCAGCTCAGCTACCTCGCTTTACTCTTCTCCACCATCTGGACTCAACTCTTCTCTCTCCTCCAAATTATTCTAAACGCATCTCTAGCATTTAGCATTTTCATTTTCTTAAACACTCAACGAACTATCTCCTCTGTAAGCCTGTCGCACACATCGCTGACAGTGCCGTAACTCTCCGCGCAAACCCTCTTCCACCAAATCACACAATCTCCTCATCCTACCGCGATGGCTGCTCAAGCTGTTCAGCCCTCCAAGTCCGCGAAGAAGAAGGCCGCCAAGGCCCTCGAGCGAACCGAATCACCTGCGCCCAGCGTTGCCTCTGCCACTGCCGATAAGAACAGCGATGACAGCTTCGAGAGCCCATACATCAAGGAGATCCAAAAGTATGTTTCTGGGGTTTGAGTTTAATATGCGCAGACGGTAGAGTGCTAACGGTCACAAAGGAACATCCGAAATGTCAACAAGAAGATCGTACGTGCCTTTTTGCCTGGTTACAGCCCAACTGTCGATCATCGTCATACTGACTTTACCGTTAGACCAACGCTTCCAAGACCGACTCCCTCCTGAGCCAGAACCCTGGCAAGTCCCTTGATGAATTGGTCGAGTCTCGAATCATCAACAACGACCAGAAGGCCCAGATCCTCAAGAAGCCCGCTCTGCAGGCCCAGCTAGCGCAATACGAGGAACAGCTTGTGCAATACCAAAAGGTTGACGAGCAGTACCGCACACGTGCCGCCAGTGACAAGGCAGAGTGGGAGAAGAACTTGGAGAAGGCCAAGGCCGATGCTGTTGCAGAGGCCAAGGCTGAGTCTACCAAGTCTCTCCATGACAACCTCCTCGTCCTCTCACAATTTTTGCGACTTGCTGCCTACCGCCGCGAGGAAGCTCAAGACCCCGACTCCGATGAGAGTCAAGCTATCGAGGGTGTGCTTCTTGCCATATACTCTGGTGATGAGAATGCCGTGCAGTCTATGCTCAAGCTTGTCAACGGCTCTGAGGATCAAATTTACAGCGTGCCTGGCGAGCAGCTACAGACCTCTTGTGAGTATCCCAAAGCAGCTCAAATTCGTACTTGCCTTTACTAACAATACTTAGTCTCCAAGGTCAAGGCCCTCGCTCAAGAGTACAAGACTCACTTTGACGAGCCTCAGCCTGCCGAGGGTGAGGCCGAGCATGTTAAGGATGTTGCTACCGATCCTACCATCGCGCATGCTGCCGCTACTGAGATTGAGGCTGGCGACACCGCCGCTCCCGTTGTCGCTGAGCCCTCTTCAATCTCCAACGGCTTGGCCAACGCCAGTGTTGCTGATGATGCTGCTAATGCTGTCGCCGAAAGCCATTGGGACGCGAGTAACGATATGTCTGCTTCACAGGAGTGGGTCGATGTGAAGCCTGCCGAGGCTGTTGAGGCCGATGCTGCTGCTCCTACTCGCGTCGCCAACACCCACTCCTGGGCTGACGACCACCCCGAAGTAAGTTGATTACTTGTTCGATGATATACGATCAGATGCTAACAAGTCAGACCACCGCCCCTGCTGATCCCAACGACGGATTCCACCAGGTGCAGCGAAAGGGTCCCCGTAACGAAGGTGGCAACCACCGAGGTCGCGGACGAGGCGAGCACCGTGGCCGAGGTGGATTCCGCAGTGATGGTCGTGGCCGTGGTCGCGGTCGCGGCGGTGCTAGTCGAGGCGGACGACGTGGCGATGAGGCTTAAGCACCTTGAAACATGGCATGCGGTAAACACACAAACTTACGAATCTCCTTTTCTCTCCCGGAGGCAAATGTACACCATGAGATGACGGCGTTTACAAGTCAAGATTTCTATCTAGGGCGAATAGCCAGGGGACGGACGGTGGACTTGAGGACTTTGCATTTTGGGGTTTTGATGATTTTGGGACTCGGATATACATCTGGCCACGGTTTCGGTTGGAGTTCTCTATACCTTTGTAACAAAATAGGCCTTCCGGGGATTAGGCAGTAGGTAAATAATGTGAATGGATACCCGCCAAATGTGTTTGATGTGTGACACATGATGCAAAGTAATGTGGATATTGTAGACCGAGCCATTGAGTTATGGTATGGTTCAAATATTACCATGAAGATCGGTACTACATATTATGTCAAGAGTATCGTCTCATTACATGGTGCTGGACATGCTATGATGCCTCATGACAAGGCTGAGGGTCGAAGCTAGAGCTCCAAAGTGTGCCGTCATAGGGTTGACAGGGGGTTTTGGAGAATGTGGGGAGCTCAGAATGTCATGTTATTGGTAGATAAATTGGCCACATTATTGACTGAAGAAAGACCAAAGGCCACGTGCGTCTAATCTCATGATAAGGCCATAACGAGATTCCACTGAATATTGCGTTCAGGTAGACCTGATCCTCTATAGATCAAACACCAAGAAACATGTCTTGCTTGCATAGTAGTTAGAGAAAAGCCATCACGCCTAGTCAACCATATGATATCTATATCACAGTTCAACTCTTATCCCCAAATTATACTATGCAGTTTGAATCGAGTCAGGATAATCATGAAATTACCCAAGATTACGGATACCTCCACGCCATCATAAGCTATAGCCTAATTACCAAACATCATGAACTTCTGAGACCAAATAGGCCACTTGTCACTACTCGGGGCTTTGATGTGTCAAGCGAACTCGATGCTAGAGCGAGGCCTTGACTCGAATGTTCCACTGTAAATTCTTATCCCTCCAATAATCTCGAGTTTTCTGTCTTATCTGTCTCTCAGCCTTGCATGGGGACTAAACGTCACCGCCGCTATAATACCTATTGTTAGCTGTCCTCTTTCCATGAGTGGCTGAACGCTTCCACTAACTTAGCTTCTAACAGCCATCGTGGCTTCTTGCTCCCCCCATTGGAAGAGGTCTCCATTCTGGCCACATCGTCCAGTCCTCTCTCTCTCTTCTTTAACTTATATATACAAAAAGAGTTTCTCCGGGCTTTTTATTTTCCTGCCCATAGACGAAATCGTCTTTTTGTTCTCTTTTCTCAAGAGGCAAAGCTCCTCGTTGGTCACAAAAAAACAAAAAAAAGACATACCAGTACTCTGCGAATTGGTGTGCGCAACTGAGCGCACCCCACCAAAACCACCATCATGGCATCTCGAGTCTCGCCGCTCATGACGCTTTTGGCGACAATCTTCCTCTTCGCCACAAATGTTTTTGCAATCTCAGCTGTTTTGGGTGTCGACCTTGGTACCGAGTACATCAAGGCCACTCTTGTCAAGCCTGGAATTCCTTTAGAAATCGTCCTAACAAAGGACTCCCGACGAAAAGAAACCTCCGCCGTTGTCTTCAAGCCCTCCAGAAATGGTCCTCAGAAGGGCGACTACCCCGAGAGGGCCTATGGTGCCGACGCCATGGCTCTCGCCTCTCGATTCCCTAGCGACGTCTACCCGAACCTCAAGACCATCCTCGGCCTGACCACTCAAGATTCTGTGGTTCAGGAGTACGCTGCCCGACACCCTGCGCTGCAATTGCAGTCCCATCCCACACGAGGCACCGCCGCATTCAAGAGCAAGTCCTTTACTGACGATGTAGAAGCCTGGATGGTTGAGGAGCTGCTCGCTATGGAGCTACAGAGCATCCAGAAGAACGCTGAGGTGGCCGCTGGTGATGGAAGCATCGTCCGCTCCATTGTCCTGACCGTTCCTCCTTTCTATACCGCCGATGAGAAGCGGGCTCTTCAGACTGCTGCTGAGCTTGCTGGTCTCAAGGTCCTGGGACTTCTCAGCGATGGTCTCGCCGTTGGTCTGAACTACGCTACTACCCGGGAGTTCCCCAACGTCAGCAACGGATCTAAGCCCGAGTACAACATCATTTTCGACATGGGCGCTGGCTCCACCAAGGCTACCATCTTGAAGTTCCAAGGCCGATCTATCAAGGACATTGGCAAGTTCAACAAGACTGTTCAGGAGGTTCACGTCCTAGGCGCTGGTTGGGACCGCACTCTTGGCGGTGACTCCCTCAACTACCTCATTCTGGATGATATGGTCAAGCAGTTCGTCGAGTCCAAGGCCGCTCAGAGGGCTTCTGTCGCTGCTGAGAGTGTCAGGTCCCACGGCCGCGCCATTGCGAAGCTCACCAACCAAGTCGAGAAGGTTCGCCATGTCTTGAGTGCCAACCAGAACACCGGGGCCAGCTTCGAGGGCTTGTACGAGGACATCGACTTCCGATACAAGATTACCCGCACTCAGTTCGAGGAGATGGCTGCTGAGCACGCTGAGAGGATCACTGTTGTAATCAACGATGCCCTGAAGGCGGCTAACCTCGACATCATTGACATCGACTCCATTATCCTCCACGGTGGTGCTTCTCGCACTCCTTTCGTCCAAAAGGTCCTTGAGAAGGTTTCTGGCTCTCCTGAGAAGATTCGATCCAACGTCAACTCTGATGAGGCCGCCGTATTCGGTGCTGGTTTCCGCGCTGCTGAGCTCAGCCCCAGCTTCCGTGTCAAGGAGATCCGAATTGCCGAGGGTGGTTTCTACCCCTCTGGTGTGAAGTGGGAGACCAAGGAGGGAAAGACTCAGCACCAGCGACTCTGGTCTGCCGTCTCCCCTCAAGGCGCTGCCCCCAAGGAGCTTACATTCACCAACGAGAAGGACTTCACTGCTACTTTCTACCAGCAAATTGGCTCTGATGAGAAGGATGTTAAGACTCTGACTACCAAGAACTTGACTGCCACTATCGCTGCTATTAAGCAGAAGTATCCCTCTTGCGTCGAGTCTGAGGTTCGCTTCAAGCTCGGTGTCAAGCTCAGCGGCGAGAACGGTGAGGTTGAGATTGCCAAGGCTGCTGTTGAGTGCGAGGCCGAGGTTAAGGAAGGCCTCGTAGATGGTGTCAAGAACTTGTTTGGCTTTGGCAAGAAGGACCAGAAGCCTCTGAAGGAGGGTGAAGGCTCTGAGGAAGAGATGAAGGATGACAGGTCTTCCTCTTCCACTGCTTCTCCTGAGTCTGCTACCGCTTCAGCAGCCGACTCTGCCGCTTCTGGAAGTACCGAGGAGGTCAAGCCTGAGGCCAAGAAGCGAGAGATTGTTGGTATCCCTGTTGAGATCACCATGGAGAACCGTGGTATTCCTGCCCTTACACCAGCCGAGATTTCCAAGTCTAAGGACCGTCTCAAGGCCTTTGCTGCCTCTGACAAGGCGCGCCTACAGCGAGAGGAGGCTCTCAACCAGCTTGAGGCATTCACCTACAAGATTAGGGATCTCCTTGAGGGAGATGCCTTTATTGCGGCTTCTACTGAGAAGGAGAGGACCAAGTTGGCAGAACTTGCCAGCGAGACAAGTGACTGGCTCTACGCCGATGGTGCAGAGGCTACCAAGGATGTTCTCAAGTCTAAGCTCAAAGTTCTCAAGGACCTAGTCACACCCATCCAGAAGAGAGTTGAAGAGACCGAGAAGCGACCTGAATACCTCACTGCACTAAAGCAGACTCTGGAGAACACTCAGGGATTCGTCGACAAGATCAAGGGACAGATTGCTGAGCATGAGAGTTGGCATAAGTCCGCCTCTGAGTCCGCCTCTGCATCTTCATCAATTGAGTCTTCCAGCACCGAGGCTGCGCAAGAGAAGGCCACAGGTGACTTTGACGGACTGGAAGACGAAGATCCTGCTGTTGCGGAGGCCCGCAAGATGGAGCAAGTGATTAGGGAGAAGGGGCCTATTCCTCCTCTGTACACTTTGGAGGATCTCAAGGAAGTGATTGATCTTCACAAGGCCACTCTGGACTGGTTGAATAACCTCGAGGCCAAGCAGTCTAAGCTTGCTGCCACTGCCGATCCTGTACTCCTCATCAAGGACCTCAAGGTCAAGCGTGACAAGCTCGAGAAGGCTAGCGTCGAGGCCGCCCTCAAGGGTGCCAGAAAGGTGGAAGAGAAGAACCGACAGGCCAAGAAGGCTGCCAAGGAGGCTAAGAAGAAAAGCAAAAAGAGCAAGACGACAAGCGGAGAGGCGTCACAGGAGACAGTGCAGCTTAACGCCGAGGACTTCATGAAGGACGGTGAGATTGATAAGGAGCAGCTCGAGAAGTTGCTCAACGACATGAAGAAGGAGAACGAGAAGAATGAGAAGAACAAGAAGAGCGAGGGAGAGAAGAAGCAGACTCACGACGAACTATAGACGATGGCGTATTGACTTTTGATCTTTGCTTTCTTATAACGAAAAAGAAGAAGGTGGAGCTGGTTGTTGATACGCACGCATCTTGATTGATTATTTGATACCGGGTCAGATGACGAACGATAGAATATCTGACTCTGTCTATACCTACCATATGAAGTAGAATACCATGAGGATGGACATATGGATTTCTCACCAATGAATGATGAACGGGATCGGAATGTGAGATGTTTAGTATGTCGGTCCTGTTTCACGGGCCGTACCGCTTAGATATATTGGTCAACGGATCCGCGAGTAACGAAGCATTATATCGTGACCTTTGCTGTCTCTACCCGTTCCACATCCATGTCCATGTCTAGCTCCCTAGGTACTAAGGTAGCTTGGTAGTATGGTTACTCATCCTCAGGGTCTTGTGAGCCAATCTCATGACCCAAGCCGAGTACAGGTGCCCCCGTATCTGTATTTTCAGGATGGAGTATCTAATGTGCCGTCGTTGATTGTTTGCTACCAGAGACGTGGATTGGATATTCATGCATTGTTACGTCGCAGTTGCAGGTTCCCGTGTTTGTCCCCGGCTGGAGCTGTAGGCGAGAAAAACCACCCGATTACAAGAGGTTGTGCAATGGTCGGCGCGAGGTGATGGGCTCGTCTACGGCGAGTGAGTGGCCTTTGGGTGTTACAAAGCGTAGGCCGAGGGCCTAGATATGGAGGTTGGTGATATAGGGGTCTCGGCTTCTACTACTCGAATGAGACGTTGCGAGCTAGACTGTCCTGGCCGAGAAAGTGTCCGGCAGTGCCCATTGATAGCTGCGAGGTACTACCTAAGGTAGGTAGGTACCTTAAGGCAACCAACTGTAGCACCTCCGTCCCAGGCTCTCTCTGGGTCTGGTATTTAGATGATTCACTGGCCCTGTCTAGGTATCTTACCTTAGGTAGGTAGGTAGGTATCAAGTTCCAGTTTTCCCTCCTTCTTTCTATGTTTCCTTCGTCAATCTCTCCCCCAGTTACACCTTCCTGTGTATTACATTCTCGTTTATCCCGTACCTTAGTTTCTTCTTCTCGACTACCTATTCCTCTATCATCCTTCAGCCTCTTGACCAACCTCGACTCGCCTCCTCCAATCTGAATCATGAGAGGCCTCGCCTTTCTTGCCGTGCTGTTGGTAGTCAGCATTGCTTCTGCTTCTGCTGCTGCTGCTGCTGCTGCCACCCCCCAGCACAAGGGTCGCAAAGGTTTTTCTCTCGAAGCTACCAAGAACTCAAACTCCAAGCCCGATTTCGTTCGAGAATGGGTCGCAGCTCACCAGAAATGGGGGAAGGGTGTCTCTCCAGAGACTTTGTCTGCTTTCTCACTTCTTGATGACGGTATTAACTCTAATATTTGTCGTCCATTCACACACTAACCATTTTGCAGATGGCCGTGTCGATGTGAAGCCCCTCGGAGCAGATGAAATCTACATCGCCGATGTCAAAGTTGGAAATCCGCCTCAGACTCTCAAGATGGCCCTCGACACTGGCTCTGCAGACTTGTGAGAAACATGCCCTTAGATACCAGCGATTTATGCTGACTTCCACTTCAGGTGGGTGCAATCTACAGACACAATCTATCGAGCCAACCCTGAAGGTCCTTGGGCTCCTCGTTACAAGCCCAACTCTTCCAAGACATCTCGCCGACTTCGCGATGCCGAATGGGAAGTTGAGTACGGTGAGAATTATCTCTCGTTTCATGCCGTGGGTACATGTTGTGCTGACCTCTTTGATAGTCGACGGAACTCATGCTAATGGCATCGTCTACCTCGATACTGTCCGCTTGGGAGACTTTGAACTCAACAACACAGCTATTCAGTCTGCTCAGATCGTTGCTCCTCGCTTCGAGCGTGAAACTGAACTCACAGGCATCTTGGGCCTTGCCAAGTCTCTTCCTAGCAACATCGATCCTCCGACTCCGTCTCTCCTTGATAAACTTCGTCCTCTACTGGCTGATCCAGTCTTTACCGTTGATATGCGTCGAAATGCGACAGGTCGCTTCGATTTCGGTTACATTGATGAGAGTCGAGCCAAGGACAACATTTCATGGATGGCCACACGGGAGGATAGCCCCCATTGGGATGTCACATTCGACACTACAGCCTGGACCGGTCTTCGTCAAGTCTGGATGGCTCACACTTTCGAAGCTACTATCGACACGGGAACTACACTGCTGTTTTTGCCCGGGGATCTGGCCAGTATGTACTGGTACGACGTTCCAGACATGCGTGTAGATCCTCGTCTCGGCGACTCGTTCACGTTTCCTTGCAAGTTTTCCAACAATCTTCCAGACTTGATGTTCAAGGTGCCAGGCACAGAGCACGTTCTGAGGATTCCTGGACCGTACCTCAGCTACAGCACAACCGACAACGATTCAGACTACTGCTGGGGCGGTTTGCAGAGTGCAGAGAGCTTGGGTGTTACCATCATTGGTGATATTGCGCTCAAGGCCTTGTATGTCGCATTCGATATCGAGAACAACAAAGTTGGGTTTGCCAACAAGGATCTTGATGTCGATGATTGGTAGTGGTTGTGGTCATGGTCATGGTTGTGGTGGCGTGGGTTTCGCGTTCGGCATTTTAAAGCATGTCGATATGTAATTCTGGAGCTGTCGATATAGGTCGGCTATTGTGATGCTTTGTAAGATGAGAAGAGCTAGAGCCATTCATGTGTAATAAAATCAAAGCCATATCAGAACTCAAGGGCAGAAGCGAGGCATTGTTCAAGTGACAAGGTGAAGGATTACCCGTATATTTCCACCCATGCCGTAACTGGAAAAGATACATATAAACCTCATTATTCCGGCCGTGAATTCAAGTCGATTGAGGCACAGTTGATGCACTTGCTATCAATTGACATGCATACCAGTCCATCCAAATACATTCCCGTCCTATTCATTCCGTCTCATCTCAACTCATACAAACAGTCCCCGGTCCAGTCCATCCAATCCACTTCCCCCCATGCTAGACTCAGACGTGGACGTGGACGCTATCCTCCCATAAACAATATGCAGCAGCCTGACGCAACAGTTGAAGCGAGAGGATGAAAATAATAGTAAAATGATGTTGCAAATGCTGCCTCTATGAACGCCGGGAATCTTGGTAGCGAACGACAAAAAAAGGGGGGAAAGGGGGGACTTCAGGCTGGGGATGCGCCGCTGATTTCCGCCGGGCTCCTGAAAACTCCTCCAGCAACTGAAAAACATTGTTAATAATAAAAAATAGTCGAGGGCGTTTGACGTTATTAATGCGCCTCGGCTGCAATTCGTGGCTTTCTTCGAAACAGTGAATTGGCCAGTCGTCGAGGGTTGCGCCGAGTCAGTTTTGAAACATGTTCCCCATAAAGATGAACGGTCGGGCTGGAGTGCGAATTGCGGTCTGGCCAAGGGTTGCATGCAGCTCAGCCGTTGGCTCTCCACGCCCGCTACCGTCCACTAGCTCATGAGGGGCGGCATCTTCTCTTGTAAGAGGCTGACTGGCGGTGATGAGAGAGAGTTGGCCCTCGATAGAATTGAATGGTTCATGGAGAGAAAGGGAGCAGCAAAAAAGGTCAGATTGCTTTATTCATGGTCTCCGTCTTTATAAAAAGTCAAAAATATTCGTCAGCGCGGGCCGTCTTGCAAGTCATCGCGGGTGACGACGTAGTATTCACCTTCACTGGCACCCGGGGTCGGGGGCATGTTGCCCGAGGAGGGAGCTTGCTGAGAAGCGCGGGCTGTTCCCGGTCGTGAGCGAGCCTTGGGGTCGTCCGTGGGAGCATCAAGGGAGCTTGGCTGCTGCTGAGTCTGGGACTGGTTGGTGTTCTGTGTCTGGACCTGTGGCAGAGGAGAGCGCTGCTGGGTGGTGCCTACAGAGCGACGTAGGCGGTCTTCCATTTCGCGGATGCGGGCTTCGAGAGAGGCGAGTTCTTCGGTGTTCTTGTCGACTGTTTGCTTCCTGAACAAGGTGAAATGCGGTTAGATGCAAGGTTTCTGGCGTGAAATGGTGAGCAAGTGGTAGACCAACTTATCGTGGACTTGCTGATCCAGATCGGTGAGCGAGTTCTCGATGCGGAATATGTCCATCAACTCTGCACTAAAAGAGCGGGCGATGGTACTATACGAAAGAGGGATGTTAGGTCTTGGCTCGCAGTCACATTGATTTTGTAGACGACATGACGGGCGTCTTCAATTGAGGTGAGTATAGGGGGATACGGACGATTGAGGGCGACGGCCACTGGGCTGCCAGTCGCGGTCGAGCTCTTCATCGGTGAGAGTCATATTGGTTGCTGATTATACGAGGTTGATATGATAGAAGCTGAGCGTAGTAAAGCTAAAGGTCGAGGAGTATGGGATTGGGTATCACAGTTGAAGGCGCAAAGAGATGAAGGGTTGGGAATGAGAATGAGAATGATGGATGGAGGGAGAAATGAGACGGGAGCTCAGCTCTAAAGACAAGAGAGGCACTTGTAGTGGCCGTAATTAATGGAAGTTTCCAAGGGACGGGTTCTACCTTTAGAGCTTGAGCTAGAGCTAGCGACAGCCATTTCCTGAGGTGAAGTGGGCTCTCCACTCCCCTTTGCCCCACACGCGACCCGGCGCCCACGCGCACAGCGCATCTGTTAGGGGGAGGGGTTCACTGTGAGATCCACTCCAGCTGGCCCTAGGGCAGAAGGTCCCCTGGAATTAGCGGCTTTTACTGGCAGTCCAAGGGGGATTTGATTTGATGGAGAGGGGAGGGTGGGGGTGTGATGTAGAAATAGGTAGGGTGTGCATGAGGTTGGGAGTTCAAGTTTAGGTTCTCTGACGAATGAACCTTTTTTTCCACCTACGGATGCGGATTGAAAGAAGAGATGATGATATAACGGTTTAGAACAAAGAGTCGGTGATCAGTGTGAAAGCGGCTAGGTTTGAGACTCAATGATTTGTTTTGGTCTGGAGATGTGACAACGTGGTTGAAAACGTCAGGAGGAAAAGTCCAAGACATTGTTGATAAACTC